CCCATGGCACTTAAGAGGCCTTTCTCACTGCTGCCGGTTACTAAAGGCTAAACTCTGCGGACACCTGGAGACATTGGAATTCTCCCCCATCATCTGCCTGCCACAGGACAACTGTCACTCTTCTCTGAGTACTTCGGAGGGAAACCTCAGCAAAAAAGGGTTCTGAAGAAAAGGGGTTTCTGACCTCTCACTGGCAGACGGGTCTGAGACAGCGGTGTACTGTGAAATGACGCTGCAGCGCAGCTATTTCCCCACGCCAGACCTTACACTCGGACAACCTCCCAAGTGAGCCTTCCCATCCACTCACTGAGTCCACACTGCAGGAAGTCTTTCCTACACACATGCAACAGTAAATAATTAGCATGAGGGTGAGCGGAGTCCAATTCCCAACCAGGAATTAAGCACTAACAAATTATGGATCCACTTATGACAGCAGATATCCTGTCAAAGCAGAATCAACCCAGACCAAAGGTCAGTGTTCAATAATTTTGTATATGGAATTTAAAATGTATGCATATATATTTCCATATATATCAATATATAATTAAAAATCTGGAGCAATATGTTGCTAGTTTCACGATTTCTCATCTCCAACACTCTCCTGGGAAGCAGCTCGTCTGTGGCAGTGATAAAGCAATGGGAAGCAGATCAGGGTCAAAGAAGACAGAGTACAGAGAACTGAGGGGTGAGGCTAGGGACCGAAGGAAGCAAGCAATGTTTCCTTTATTCTTCTCAGCTCTTTCAGACCCCAAAAAAACTCTGAGGATACACACCAAATGCTGCAGTCCCTCCTCAGCCACAGTCAAAACAAACCGAGGGATTTCTAAAAGGCTCTTCATTTCTGTACTTTCAATAAAAACACAGTACAAGATGGTGTTCAGACATTAGGCATCTTGGGAGGATTAAAACTGGGACATGAAATGAGGCCGAGAGCTATCAAGTCTCCGGGTAAGAATTTCACAGCCAGTGTCCGTGACCAGCAGGGTGTGCTCAAACTGGGCGGATCGCTTCCCATCCCTCGTCACTGCAGTCCAGCCATCTGGCCAGGTTTCATCCTGCCATCCACCTTAAACAAGCAAAAACAGTTGCTTAGTTTTGTCATTCACATCGCTCACAGTCTCCAGGTTAGTATGCATCAAGAAAGGAAATAGCCTATGGTGGCGCACACCTTTAATCCCAGCACCTGGGAAGCAGGAGCAGGCAGATCTCTGAATGAGGTCAGCCTGATCTACAGAGTGAGTTCCACGACTGTCAAAGCTGCACAGAGAAACTGTCTCAAAAAGCAGAGAGGAAAGAGGAGTTGAGCCCCATCGAGATCCACCTCAACTCTGTTTCCGGTAAAGCCTTTCCATCTCCTCCCATGCGCAGCTCTCACTAACCAAGTAACCATGTCCAGTTTTCCTCAGTGGAGCAAATTGACCATTTTTCCATTTCTCAAATCAAGGTGACATTTCCAAAATAAAGACATCAGACTTGCTTCCAGCAAACACATGGAAACTCCTCCCGGGAGAACTGAGCAGAAACTTGAACTGGCGACTGTGCAGACAGACTAAGGGAGTCAACTACCTCAGTGTGCACAGTGAGCACGAGTTCCCGCACTGCCACAGCATGTCACTCCAACGTGACTGCAAAAGGCTGGGGACAGATTATAGTATGAAGTCCTTATAACCAGAGAAAGGAGCAAAGAGAAACAGGGTTTTTGTTTGCTTGTTTGTTTCTGGTTTTTTTGAGACAGGGTTTCTCTGTGTAACCCTGTTGTCCTGGAACTATTTCAGAAAGCCAGGCTGGCCTAACTCTGCCCGCCTCTGCCTCCGGAGTGCTGAGATTAAAAGTTTGTGCCACCACCATCTAGCCTGAGAAACAGGTTTTTTGAGGGCTAAGAAAAATCAGAGGCCTGAAGCAATGGTCCCATTGGCAAAGCACTTTTAAAAGCATTGAGGCCCTGAGTTTGATACCCAACACCCCTATAAAATGTTAGGTTCTGAAAGACTTAGACACAGACAGCTCTCCTGGGACTTGCTGGCAGCCAGCTTAGCCTAATTAGCAAGCCCCATGTCCCAATGAGAGACTTACTTCAAAAACAAAGTGGATGGCTCCAGAGAAATAGAGCATGAGTCTGACCTCTGGGCACTGACGCACACGTGGGTATTCAGAGCTGGAGGGTCTGGGAAGGTGTACTTCAACAGAGGGCTCAGAGAAACCAGTCAACAGCACTGACATGCTGCACTGCCTAGACCCAATGAAGAACTCGGAGAAGTACTTCCCAGTTACAATCTGCTAAGTGCCGACAACAAAGCTACCACGTGACAGTCCGTACTGCCAGAGGAACAGAGAGACCGGCCACGAGAGACCAGTGTCTGCGATGTGCTTACTTGTGATGCTGCAGGAAACCCCAGCCGTGCATGCTGATTGTGGAAGACTGGATGGCTCATCAGTCTGGCAAATTTTGCAACATAAACAGCTATGTGTCCTGGGCAAGTTAGACTCTTCAAAGATCTGTTTAATATTCTACTGCCTTCTTCATTAGCTGGAATTAACTTGTGTAACTGTATCTGTCTCCTCTTCCCCTGCTATATCAGGCAAGAACTTCTACAGAGGCTTGATGGAGAATCGCATTTTGAGAACTCATCCTTTTTAAGATCTCTATGAACAGGGACCACAGTCAAGTAAGTACTTTACACTTACTGACAGCAGAATTATCAAAGTATCTTCTTAGAAACCCTTGGATGTTCGAGTCTCTACATCTACCCATCAAGATGCAAAGGGGAGAATGAAGCAAAAGGAAGTAGGCAGAACCAGCTACTGATTTGATGGGTAACAAAAACAAATAAAAATTCAGCAAATGTTACAAGGTCTGAAATATCAGCAGATAAGGGTGCTTGCCAACAGCCTGACAACCTAAATTTGGTTCCCAGGCCACACATGGTAGAGAACAAATCTCTACTCATTGCCTGATCCACATACTATGTGTATACCTGCAAAACTTAAAGACATGCCGGGCAGCGGTGGAACATGCCTTTAATATCAGCACTTGGGGAAGCACAGACAGGTAGATCTCAGTAAGTTCGAGGCTAGCCTAATCTACAGTGAGTTCCAGGACAGTCAGGACTGTTACACAGAGAAACTGTGTCTCAAAAAACATAAATAAGTAAATAAATAAATAAATAAGCAAACAAATAAATAAGCAAACAAATAAATAAATAAATGCATAAAATGTAAAAGAAATGTTACAAATAGAGTATAGGAACACACATACTCACCTTCACAAATCATTGGCTCAATTGTAAACACGTGGCCCGACTTCATCACACCAACTGCCTTGTTTTCTGAAATTAAAAGAAAGTCTCAAAAAGACACCAAAACCCAACAGCACTGAACTGAACAGCTTATAGGAACATGGGACTGACGTTTCCAGCAGTTCCCCTTCATTAAATTCTCTCATGGTCTGTCATTCAGCAAAGAGGCCACCACCAGTAACCACCTGTCTGCAGGCAGATTGTATTCCAGCTTGGCTTTCTGCGATAAAAGAGGGATGTCCACAGGCTAGGCTTCAGATACAGTCACCACTGTGGAAAAGCAGTCTTTATGTGCAGAGATTAGAAAAGGCAATCACTGCTGGGCGTGGAGGAGCACACTGTAATAGCCACTGCCCATCACCCATCCACTTAGGGAAGTGTGAGTGATATGTGTCATATGCTAGAGCCTCTCAATTCTTTGAGGAAGGGGAGGATGGTTACATAATGGAATACACACTAGGACACAAATACACAACTTAGAGAAAGGTCTGTAAGTAGTCTTTTATCTCATTCTCAAAGGGAACTAAGACTGCAGAATAGGCAACTTGTTTATTTAAATGATAAGGAGACATCTCTTTCTATATGAAAGCAAATTGCACTTTACAGTCTACATATTTACTCTGCCTTTTATCAACTTCACAACTAATATTTTTAGGACCACCGTGAGACATGAGTAAGGCTGCCTGGTCCTGCTTCGTCTCCAAAGCCAGAATTTAAAAGTAGGAACAGTCTTTTCAGAAAGGCCTCGCCAATATGGAGCACAAGTTTAAATTTAAAAAACGAAAGCATAAAAAGTGATCATTTATCAGCTAAATAAGCACGGCATTTACTCAGGCTGGCCACCAGAGGGCAGACATGTCCGTTGCTCCAAGGTTCTTTTGCAGTCAAAGGCGTCCTTCCCACTGAGTTGCTACTGTACAAATACTAACTTTATCTACTCCAGCTGGGCAGGCAAGCGTCCCCCCCCCCACCCACCCACACACCCACACTTCCATTCCAGCCCCCTCCTGGTGAACAGCCAGCATTACTGCTCCCCACTACTTTAGGCTCCCCAATGTACACTCACTGCAGATCTACTTTTTAAAGTCATGTGAACCCTTGGAAGCAGAAAGCAACTAAGAACTCTTAAGAATTAGGTTTTTCATTTCTAATATCATGAACTTGTTCTCAAAATGGCCTGCCACTTCTGATTTACAGGGAGTCATTCCCCTCGGTCTACCAAAGAGAAAATGCTAGAATTCTTGTGTGGTGCCACAGAGAACAAGAGGCATGAAGGGATCTAAAGCTGTGCTGTCGGTTGCTTCCACAGCAACAGAGATGGGTTTTAACGTTTATAAATAAACAAACAAACAAACTACAAAATTTAAAACCAGAACAATAGTTTCTTCCTCAGTCTCCATGTGAGCAGTCACAGTTGCCGTGTGTTCAGGATTTCAACTGCTATGTCCATTCTAGGTTAGCAGTGCTCTCCCAGAAATGTTTCTAAAGATGCTGACATGTGCAGTCAGAATCCTGCATCTTTTCTTCCTCATACTGTCTGTTCCTTGCCCTCAAAAGAAACCTGCAGGCAAACTCAGAGTGGGTCTCACTTCAAAACATCTATTCAGGACTCCCTCCACCTGCAAAGTAATCTCAGGCATACTTTAGTTACTGTCCAGGACCCAGCGACCGACTGCTTCAGTCCTTACTGTAAGAAGCACTAGACCCAGGAGAAAGACTGAATCCAGGCAGACAGACCCCAAAAGCATTTGTTCACGACTCATAATCACGAGCAAAGGAGCTGCCCATGTGAGCACGTAGTCTGCGGAAAGCTGGGCTCAAAGACACTGAAGATAGAGCTCAGTGCCAGCGCTTGCCTAGCAGGCACAGTGAACAACAAAGCTGAGGGATGATGTAGAGATATGACCATCACATAAGATAACGCATATCATGTCACCATCATTCTAAAACCGCAGGTCACGTTTTAGGTAGGAATGTCAGGCAAACTCTAAGTGCTTCCCAGGTATCAACTCAATCCTAACAATTCCTGGATATCATCATTCCCTATTACTACAGGATGAGAAAAATTGACACAAAGACATTACTGAGTGTTTACATAAAAGTTCAGAGAGAGATGAAGAAACGTGTCTAAGGTGCACACAGTCACGTGCATTAAATTCCCGCTGCTGACTGTTGTGGACAGCTTTTACTTCTAACACCAAAAAACAGATGCATCCATTAACGGTTAATCTCCCGGAGAAAAGATCTCTGGAACACAATGTCTTAGGAGAAAAGATCTCTGGAACACAATGTCTTAGACTTCCTTTGTTTTTCTTCCATACTACTCTCCTCTTAAAATAACCACCTATTCTCCATTATTAAACCAATAAATAATACACAAAGAATTAACAGCAAACCAAGTTAGGATGAACTGATTTTACCTAAGGAACCAGAAGGGTGACAGCAAGACTATGTACGGATCACCACATCCATCTAGGTCTCTCCTAGAGTGCGCAGTCAGGTTACACTCCCTACTTCCCTTGCAGTTAGATAAGATTAAGTCACTCAATTCCTACAAACTGGAACAAATGCAGGTGATTTGTGCTCGTCCCCGGCTGGTAGACTACAACTCCCAAGCACATCCTTCCAAGCATCTCCATCCCCTCCTGACACGTTATCTGTTGACTAGGAGATGATGTCATGGTGACTGGTGATGGGAAAAGATGGGTTGAAGGAAACAGAGCCTGGATCACCTCTTCATGACCAAACACCTCCTATAGACTATCACGTAAGAAAGACTTCAAACTTGTGTTTGAACAGGTAACACTGGGCGGGAAAGGGTGTACTCACAGCAAATACATTCCTTGAGTGAATACAAAATAGAAGGCCCTAAAGTATTTGAACAGTACTCACTGGCATAGTGTGGCACATTGGGGGCTGTATGGAAAAGTTTGTGGATTCCATGCCCACAATAGCTTCGAACAACTGAAAATCCATTTGCTTGGGCATGTTTCTGAATGATATTTCCCAGCTCTCTGTATCGAACACCAGGCTTCACTGAAAGAGAAAAAAACCATGAGGAAGAGCAGCACTTAACTAAGCAGTTGGTTCCCATGTAGCAAGGACCTTTGTATGTATACATGGTGCCTTCATGCCCGAATATAGAAATGAGGAAATTCAGGCACAAGAAAATCCAGACAGTCAGTAATGACAAAGCTTATTCAAACACAAGAGCACCATTAACGTAAAACAGGGAAAATGCCATGCAGAATACCAAGGGGTCAAAAAAAGCACCTTCTGTTTTCTCTAAAAACAAAACAAGAAAATGGAAAACACACTTTTTTACCCTCTTTCCCTAAGGGTTCTCTAAAGGAACAGAACTTATAAAGAAAAAAAATGCATTTTTTGAAATACAAAAAAAGTTATATTCAAATAATATAAAGTTGTCCTCTTACCCCTAAAAGCACAGTAGCTTGTGTTCTATGTGCACACATACATATATGTAATTTTAAATCTGCTTTAAAGGAGGTACATCTGAATATACAGTTAAAAAAAAACTAATTTGAAAGAATCTTTATGATATTAATAGAAAAATAGTAAATTAGCAATACTGAACAATCTATGATTCTGACCTAATTAAGTACATACACTATCTGTATATGGCTGAACACACAGCAGAGAGAAAAAGACCCTACAAGTACCAAGGACACTATGAAAAGCAAAGAGGGAGGCAAACTACAGAAGCTCCACCCTCATCCCCCCCAAATCCCTCTCCTTGTTTTAATTTCCTATGAGAACACAAGGCAAGTGAAAACAAAAAGCCAAATAAAGAGAAAAATGCAGGGTGCTGAGCAGTGGTACATTCCTTTAATCCCAGTACTCCAGAGATAGAACTCTGTGAGTTCAAAGTTAGCCTGGTCTATAGAGCTAGTTCCAGGACAGCCAAAACTGTTACACAGTGAAACCCGGTCTCGAAAAACCAAGAAATAAATAAGTAAAATAAACGTGCACTGAACACTGGTGGTCTGTGGTGCAAGAGGGTGTCACGGCTGAGGCTGACCTGCATCAATGGCTTGCATCAGGCATTCATATGTAGTCTGGACAAGTTTCCGTGCTCCTTCATCCACATCTCCAACAAAAAAGGTCTCATTTAGATCCCCATGATAACCATTTCGATAAAGAGTGATGTCCACTGGGAGGAGAGAAAAAGGCAAATGTAACCAAATGAAAACAACACTGTGTGCATTGTCTAACTCCGCAGTGAGTGTGGAGCTGCCTAAGGAAAACCCTCGGGGGAAATTCACTCAACTCACTGCAGAGCACAAGACAGATGAGGGCTTTTATGTCAGTAACGAGATCCTTTGTGACAGAAGAAATATTACACAGAAGACAGCTGTGTAAGATAAATAACCAAGTTAGCAACACTGACCTGACGACTTCACTAAGTTCCGAACTATACAGGAAACATTCCCACTATCTTTAACTCGATCTTCCTGGAACACGAGAGCAAAGCTTAGCTTATCTTATCTAGTTCTAGGGTTTTTTAAATCCCTCTGGTCTTTCATCCTTCTGTAAGTATCATCTGTCTTCATCCCAGGCTTAAAATAAAGATTAAACTACGTCACTACAATAAACTATCTAGAGAATACACTAGGTATCTTTACACTGCGGAGCGGAGAGTTCATCCCTGAAAGCGCCATCTGCTGTCACAGGTGTGGTGGTGCACGGCTTTAACCTCACACTGGGGAGGCAGTCAGGTGGAGCTCTTTGAGTTCAAGGCCAACAAGAGCTACGTTGTGAGACCAGGTTGCAAATATTAACGATTTTGTGGTGCAGAAATCCACCAGCGCTGGGAGGCAGAATTTTCTGAGTTCAAGGCCAGCCTGGTCTAGGTAGTGAATTCCAGGACGGATAGGGTTTAGTAAAGAGACCCTGTCTAAAAATAAACAGAGATTACTTCAATTTTGAGTGAGAGTTTTAAATAGGGAAAAACCAAGTCAAGAAAACAGAAACCACCTAACAGACTCCCAAAACTTGTTTCTTTACTCACAATAAGAAATGTCACACATATTTTCTTACCATTAACAATATCACCTTCTTGCAAAGGCCGTCTGTCTGGAATTCCATGGCAGATGACTTCATTTACTGAGGTACAACAAGACTTTGGGAAATTATAGTAATTCAGGGGAGAAGGATAGCAATTTCTTGCAATGCATGCCTATGGTAAATTAAAATACAAAGAAAATCATTTGGAATGGACAAAAGGAAAAAATCTATATACAATTAGTCAGATCGTAAAATCTGAAGAATTTTAAGACAGATGCTACTATAAAAAACGGATATTATATTTACTTGAAAATAGTGATGGGTGTATAGGTATATGTGCATGTATATATGCATGAATGTGTACTGGCAAATACACTCAGGACACACAGTCCAGTTCTTTCAGGGAGGCTTTTGCCATCTACAATACCATCATCACTGTAACGGTAGGGGGGTCAGTTTCATCCTTCCAAGCAATGGATGGAGAGATCTTTAGAACCCACTGTCCACATGTCTGAACTACTTAGCACTTCTTTGTGCACAATGTAGGCACACAATGTAGACACTAGTCTACAACTAATAGACTCTAACAAGCAATCTTTATTTTAAAACAAAAGATACTGTCATGTAATATATACTACAAATTTTATCTGATCTGTTTATTGTCTTGTGAATGAGGATTTTGAAGTTACAAGCTCATCTATTTGAATGCTTAGTCACTAGGGAGTAGAATTCTGGTAGGACAAACCTTTGGCTTACAAGGTTAGAAGGTGTGGCCTTGTTAGAGAAAGCGTGTTGGGAGATTGGCTCTCTCCCCTCTCCTCTGTCTACTCACTGTCTATCCTCCTCCCACCACCAGCCTGCATGCTGCCAAGCCCCCACCAAGATAGTAATGGACTCTCTGCAACTGTAAGCAAGGACAGACTAAATGCTTTCTTTGTGGAGCAACTGTGGCCACGGCATCTCTTCAGAGCAACACAACACTGACTAGGACAGGATTCTCCCATCTCATCTGTTTATTGCCTTTTTCCTGTGTATATGAAAGGGAAACTAATTTCTAGTCTAGTTTCTGCAGTTTATTCTGTATTTCAGAATACCTGGCATATGTAGTGGTATGGTTTTTTCTATAAAAGTTGATAAAAGACTGAGGATTCAGAATAACATTTCTCAAGCGTCCCTGGATTTCAGCATCACATACATAGTCATGCCTCAGAACCTGTGGAGGATGGGTTCCTCAATACCCGGCTGGCTACCAAACTATGCAGACACTCCAGTCTTCAGTACAGTGTAGTGTCTGCATATATACTGTCCATATCCTCCCACACTTTAAACCATCAGTCTATTATTTACTATTACACTGTAAATATTCCTATTTAGAGAACAGTATCAAGGAATACAGTAACACAAACATGTCTGTACAAACCTAAGTTATTTTTTTCCCAAACATTTTCAATTGCTGCTGGCCGAATGCCTAGAGGCCCAAGATCTATAGGTAGGATATACTTACCAATTAATAGCTACAGAATACTTCCCATATTCAAAACAATACAAAAATAAGCTTTCAAATTCACTTAATAAAGCTATTTTGAACATTATAAAATGAATTTTTGAAACTTCTGATAGAAAAAAGTAAAGGTCTTACTAAGTGTACAGCGTGATCAATTTCTTCAGTAGTTACACCTGCTTTAATCATCC